ACCTCTTCGCAAACTTGAAACAGTCAGTTTCCATGGTTAGCCAGTAATAACCTGCCCGCAGCAGCTTTCTGGTCATAGCATGCCCACCAGCATGTGTACCAAACGTACCCTCATGTATTTCCTCCATGAGCAACTTCGCCTCTTTCTCGTCTACACAGCGTAGCAACACCAAGTCATGATTTCTTTTGTACAGGACACCGTCTGGATTTAGATAGAAATTACCAGCCAATCTCCTGAGAGTCTTCTGATCGCGACTGGATGCCCCAGTCGGATACTCCTTGTTCTTCAGGAAATTCTGAATGTTAAAATACCAGGGTTTATCATCGGATGCTTCGTCAATAGCAAATATGAAAGCGGGTCTGTCAAGCCGAGATATAACAATCCGGGGAGCCTCGTTCCAGAAGTTAACTTTATACATGGAAGCCAATGTAGCCAGGGCGTCACCAATTTGATTTTCTGCTCGCGGCACATGATGCAATTCAACCTTGTCAAAGAAAGGCAACAATCTCCTTGCATAATTCATATCTGGTATCAAATTGGGCTGACGTGTCTCCCATTCTCCTTTTATTTGATTCACCATCAGAGCTGAGTCTCCGTATACATCCAGATTTTTGATTCACAAGTCAATGGCTTCTTCAAGCCCCATAATACAAGCTTCGTATTCGGCTTCATTATTGGTAACAGGAAAGGTCAATCGAGTAGTAAATGGGATGTGCGACCCATGTGGAGTAGTGATGATTGCCCCTATTCCGCTGCCATAGGAGTTTACAGCTCCGTCAAAGAACAACTGCCACTTGGAATCCGTCTTCGGTCCTTCATCCGGCAACGGTTCTTCCCAATCTTTCATCTTCAGGTACATGATATCCTCGTCAGGAAAATCAAACCTCATCGATTGGTAGTCCTCAACAGGCTGCTCAGCTAGATACTCCGATAACACACTCCCCTTTATAGCCTTCTGTGAAACATACTGGATGTCATATTCGGTCAAAACCATCTGCCAACGGGAAATTCTCCCAGATAGTTCCTGCTTTTCAAATATGTATTTGATAGGATCCATCTTCGAAATGAGCATGGTTGTATGATTCAGCATGTACTGTCTTAAACGCTTGGCGGCCCAGGCTAGCGCACAACAAGTTTTTTCGAGCATTGAGTATCGAGACTCACAGTCAGTAAACTTCTTACTCAGGTAGTATATCGCATGCTCTTTACGCCCTGTCTCGTCATGTTGACCAAGAACACAATCCATACTCCCCTCAAGAACCGTCAAATACATAATCAAGGGTCTCCCTGCCACCGGAGGTATCAAAATAAGAGGCTCCTGCAAATACTGTTTTATTTTATCGAACGCCTTTTGACAATTTTCATTCCAGGTCACAACCTGGTCCTTTTTCAACAACTTGAATAATGGCTCACACGTAGCTGTTAGGTGAGAGATGAACCGAGCAATGTAGTTCAATCTCCCTAAAAACCCACGCACCTCTTTTTCTGTTTTAGGCGTCGGCATTTCTTGTATTGCTTTTATTTTCGTAGGATCAACCTCTATTCCTTTTTCGCTTACGATAAACCCCAGCAGTTTACCCGATCTCACCCCGAAGGTGCACTTGTTAGGGTTCAGTCTCAGCCTGAACTTCCTAAGCCTCTTGAATAATTTCAGCAGATTCACCAAATGTTCTTCCTCCGTCTGGGATTTGGCAATCATATCATCAACATAAACCTCGATCTCTTTATGCATCATGTCATGAAAGAGAGTCGTCATTGCACGTTGATACGTTGCCCCAACATTCTTCAATCCGAAGGGCATCACTTTGTAACAAAATGTTCCCCAAGGCGTAATGAAGGTAGTCTTCTCCATGTCTTCTGGCGCCATTTTAATCTGATTATAGCCCGAGAAGCCATCCACGAAGGAGAATACGGAAAATTGAGCGGTGTTATCGACCAGCACATCGATGTGAGGAAGTGGAAAATCATCTTTCGGGCTCACTTTGTTCAAATCACGGTAATCTACACACATTCTCACTTTACCGTCTTTCTTTGGCACTGACACAATATTAGCGACCCATGAGGGATATTTTGTAACAGCTAGGAAACCAGCATCCCACTGCCTTTGAACCTCCTCCTTAATCTTCACAACCATGTCCGGTCTAGTTCTTCGGAGCTTCTGCTTAACCGGCGGGCATTCTTCTTTTAGCGGCAGACGGTGAACAACCATATCTGTATCCAGCCCAGGCATATCCTCATACGACCAAGCAAAAATATCACTGTACTCTTTGAGCATTTCAACCAATCTTCGCTTGACGTCGCTCTGCAGCGCGGCCCCCATATGTTTTCACAATTGTGCATCCACACTTCATGTTATCAGATACTACATTATCAACTCGTTTAGCCTCGTCAAAAATATAGTTCAAACCCGCCCGAGAAATGTTACCGACCAACTGAGAAATATAGAGTGTTGTCTTTAAATTTGTGTTCCAAAACTGTGATACTTTGACCAAATGATGTTTGTATCTCATTATACTGGTTTTGAATCATGTGGTACATGGAGTTCCAGTCTCTAAACAAATCGCCCTTACTATTTCCCAACCAAATTTTCAAAGTAGCATGGGCAGACCTAACTCTGTTAGTTGTTATATTTCCAAGGTGTCTAACATTATCAGTCCATGCACAAACAATTTTCTCCTTCACCTAGTCAAGAATTGTGCTTTCAACATTATTCAACAAATCTGGACACTTTTCACACACATTCTTGAAATGCATGACAAAATCTACATATAGTTCTTTTATGGAAGAATTTATCATATGATTTCATGCATCCATTATTTTTTCCACAACCACACATGCCTTCACCATTTTTCCATCTTCGGACTCTATCTGTTTCGTCCCTACCGCAGGTTTAACCCGGCTTCTCACATTATTTGTTATGTGATACCTACAAAGTAATACATAAGAAGAAGGAAATACTTTTGCAACCGAATTCATCAATGCGGTATTGCGGTCAGTAATAATTGCTTTAGGCATCTCACCTTGTTCCTTCAACAGTGTCCGACACACCTCCATGGACGAAGTAAAATTTTCCTCTTTTTCACACTCAAGAAATGCAAAACCAACAGAATATATCTGCTCAGTTAAGGTAACACCAACCATCTCCGATAATGGATGTATATACTTGTTGGTTTTATAGGTTGAATCAAGTATGAATACCGTAGAAAATGTGTTCAACAACTTTATGGAATCAGGATGCGTCCAAAAAATATCTCTAACAGTAACTCCGTATTCACACGTTAGGTACCTAGACACATAACTGTTATCATCCAACAATTTTAAGAGTTGTTGCATCTCCGTTCTATCCCCCTAAGCGCCTTGTTAGTGAGGTACTGAATATTATACACTTGCTTGATATTTGATATATTTTCGGATTGTTTTCGTTTCAATGTTGCAAGTATATTTTTTGGTTGAACAATATTTAAGGCCATGTCAGCAACACATTCCTTTTCTTCCGACTTGAGTCGACAAACACTAGGATGACCGGCTAATTTTAAACATAAATCATGGCTATAGAAACCACATATCACATTAAATCTCCAATTTATGTTTGCCAACATGTAACCACGCACCTTAAATGAACACTCACATTTTCTTGAACCAACGTCGTCTCTCTTAAAATTTCAGAGTTCTATATTTTTCGCTTCTTTCGCAATTCATTGTCACAAAAGCGCATCTTCTATCCAAACCATTATCGAACCTTCCGATAACCACACCAAATCTAAATTTAGAGGTCTCTATACAAATCCATTGAAGCATTTGATCACGAGATTCAAACTCTTACTTGTTTTTAAATTGGTTGCCAACAACTACCGCCTTCATAACAACACCTTGGACATTCGGAGAAACAACTTGTTTTGTGAAAATATCGGGGTGCACCATATCTAATGAAAACAATTAAAACCATAACAATACATAAGTGCTACTGCTTAAGACAAATTTGAAAATCAAACGCAGACAACTTCCGAAAATGCATATCCAAAAAAAGTTCATACACGTTCAAGAGTTGTGTGATCATGTAACTGATTCTTTTATCAGATATTTTCAGAGATGACATACAAAATTGACATAAAATTTCAAAATAACACCCATGATTCCGGAGATACATCTCCGGAATTTTTACTGAACTAGTAAATAAGTAAGGTATTTCTTAAAATGTTTCGGAGATGTATCTTCGAAATAAAAATAACCTAAATTATATGGTACCTCTCAGAATGACCTTACTTGAATGTATAAGAGATGCGTTCGTCCATAGATGCATCTATGGAAACAGAAAACATATGTAAAATATTTATGTTAAAAGAAACATGATTGCTATGTTGACACCCTTTTCTACACCCTACACTCAATTTACTGTTCACAAATACTTGAATAAATTCCTCAGAACATGGTTAATAGTGTGTATTTTATTGGTTACTGACGTAGTGAAACTGGTTAATAAATTATAGGTAAAATAATTGACTAATGATGTAGATTTTTGTGGTTAATAAGTTGGTTAATGCATAATCTTATATTTGTGTTGTAAAATAAAATTTAAAAATAAATATATTTCTTTAAAAAATTAATATTTTAAAAAAATATATTATTTTAATTAAAAAAACACTGTTTACCGTATAAATACGGTGAACAGTACATACAGTGTAAATATTGGACGTAGAAAAGAATGTAAAAATAGCATTTTTCTAAAAGAAATTCTCAAACTAAATAAATGTATATTAAAAAAATCAACCAAGACTTGTCAGTCAACCATGATGTCAAAATTTTAGACGAGAATAATGGAATAAAGGTTATATCATTTATATCTAGTTACAAAGAATGTTCAGCTACCACTAGAAGCGATTTTACATGGTAAATAATTAATAAATAAAATAGAAGTAACAAAAAATACTAGTAACGAATATAAAACAAAGAAACAAAACAATGATGACATGATGCTACATAGGAAAATGGTCGATAGAGCCTTAAGAGTGAGTGCATTCAAGTGGAAGGCCTTGTGGAAATCTCTTCTTATCTGTGCAGTAATTGTAAATCATATAGTTCTTCTGTACCCATCTCATCCTCTGCAAACCAGTTGAATCAAGTTCTTGTGATAGCCATGATGCAGATGTAGGAGAAGATTTGCATGATGATTTTCCACTGCTCCATATACAAGCATTATTTGCATTGAAATTTCTGTACGAAGCTGTGAATGGAGCTTTGGACCAATCTGTCTTTACAAGTCCACCTCTTGTTGCCCAATCATCTGCATTCCAAAGGCTTGAGTATATCCTCATTGCTTGATTCTTAGGAAATGGAACTCCTATTCTTTCCAAATTCTTGAACTCCCTTATTGGTGTCCCGTCCACAGAAAACCTGAAATTATTTCATCAAAAGTAACAAAGTTTAATAACTTCAGTATAATAACAATTATAAAAGAGCAAAGTACTAGTTACTAATATGAATAATATATATAATTGAATTGGATGAACGCTTACACAATACGTTGTGGATTCCATAAAATAGAGTATGTGTGAAAATCTGCAGTTGGGTCAAACCATAGATGAAATTGTTGCTCTCTATTGCCTTTTCCTTGGCTAAAAACATTGGTGTGAACAATGTAAGGATCACCACTCAAATTTCCCAAGAATTCAAAGTCTATCTCATCCCATGCACCTCCTTTTGACGATAGCTGAATTGTTTTGAACATAAAATATTCTAATTAGTAATGATCACCGAGATTTAAACCAAACGCAATATATTATTTTTTGTTCATGTATACTACTTACATAATAGGCGGTGACAGTGCCAGCAGAGTTTCCGGGAACAAGTTTAAGCTGCATATCAATTTTGCCAAACAAGTATTCATTCTTGGATTGAAAGCCAGAGCCGGAGGCTTTGTCAAGGGAGAGAGTAAGAAGATTGGCGTTGTTGAGTATTTTGGCACGACCATCTCCCCATGTAATTTGAAAATCTTGGTTGAAGTTAGCAGCAACGTTAATGAAAAGGAGAGGAATAAGAAGCAGTAATAATTTGTTGCAAGCCATGAATGATGTTGTGAATAAGTAAATTAGTAATGTTGGATATGATGTGAAGATTGAAGAGTTGGTGTATATATATATATATATATATATATAGGAGTTTGTGGCAAGTTGCTAATAGGGGAAAAGGATAGGAAGGTCAGTTTGTGGCATAGTACTGTGTAGGTAGTTGTATTGAATTGAATGGTGTTAAGAAATTGAGCTGTCAAAAGCTCAAATGAGAGCTCAACCAACAAACTTTGTCGCATTTAATTAATAGATAAAGGTAAATACTAAGAGAGGGTATGTTGCAATTGGAGGAGTACGCGGTTTAATACTGGATTTTGGGAAGAAGTTGCATGACTACACGGTCGCTTTCATCATGTAATAAAGTAATGTTATCTATTTACTTAGTGGATAAGGTTGATGTCACGGTCGCCACAATTGACCATATCCCCTTGTTAAGAGGCAGCAAGCAGCCAGCTAGATGTAATTATATTTTACTTTTCATTTGTTTGATTTGAGCATATCCAAATGCTGCTTCTGGATGGATACTAAATTCTGCTCATAGGATCTCTATCAAAGCCGACATTGTCACATAGATACACATTTCAACTTAATTTGCTGATATTTCAAATAGTGAATTTGAATGTCTGGTTAGAATTGTAAATATTTAATTAAGATTACTGTTAAAGTAGAAATAATTAATTATATATAAAAGATAAAGTTAATTTGTGTCACTGGTAGTTGAGATATTCAATCAATGAAGAAAATCCAGCAAATGAGAGAAAAATCTTAAAAGAGTAGTGGTTCGACCACGCTCTATGGACTTAGAGAATTTTTTGTTGTTGAAGTGAGTAGTTCGACACTATATACTTCGACCAGACAACCAGCATCGCAGTAAAACTGGTCGAAGAAGCGGTTGTTTTGACGCGATTTTGTCACGTTCAAATCTTGATAACTGCTTGGAAGGCAAACTACATGCAAAACTGCACATGACAAACCAAAGAGAAAAGAGGATTACGATACTTATTTTAGACTTTTATATATAGTAGTTCATTTTATTGAGTTAAGGGTGTTCATTTGTATTACACAAAATCTAACAAAGAAACTCAAAGTATCAACATTAAGAGAAACGAGTGAATGACTGAGAGAATGTAAGCACAGATGAAACATCATGTTTATTGTTCAATACAAAATTTCCTAATGCATTCAATTTACATTACTTTTCTCATTTTCATCTTTTCCCTAACCTTTATTTTCCATTTGAGTGTTTTCAGCATTGTTATTTTTACTCTATGTTTATTACAAGAACTTTAGATACTCATTATCACGTTATCCTCCCACATCCCCTTCGACATAGTCGAAACCAACAATCTTAAGACACGAAGGAATTAACAAATAAACAAGTCCTTAAGAATTATGTCCTAAGGATTCACTGGTTGATCCTGCTAATAAACCATATACTTGGAGATCAGCGGTTGTTTATCATTTTTTAGGGTAACCAAATTGGCACGCCCAGTTGGCCAATGCTTAGTGTATTTTAATTATATTAGCCTTTTTTTCTTACGTTAGAAATTTGGGTTATACTCTTAAATTTTTTCTGAGCATTTTTGCATGCGTTTAAGGAGTGGTAAAGCGTTATCCAATATGTCGTGCCCTCCTCTAGACAATAGTAATCTCCAGAATAACCCACAAGAGGTGGTGCAACCGTCGGTTGTATCGGCCAACGAAGAGTCAGTTATTTCTATGCCAGTTAGAACGATGGCTCCATCGGCACCAGCAGAACCATTCGAAACAATGTCGTCCCAGGGGAATACACCCCTCCACAACTAGGAAATTCACTTAACAATCATGCGCTGGTGAGACCTTTGGTTGGGTTTCCAATGCCACCTTCTGGCAGAGATTATTCCTATGGAATGTCAACGTCTATGATGGCAAGCTTGCAACCAAATGTGTCAACTTTTAGTGACAATGTAATGGCCACAATGCCATTAATAACCCTTACAATGCCTCAATACCGACCATCAATAATATGGCATGACCAACAGGGATAAATTATATCCCTAAGAATACACCATCATTAAATACCACTTCTATGATGGCTATGAGGCAACAGATGGACGAGAGTAATCAGGAAATGGTAAACACTCTCACCCAACAGATGAGGACCATCTTTAATCCATTGATGGCTAATACAAACCAACCAACGTATGAAGTATTGGCAAGCCAGATGGGGCATATTGCTGATTTGTTTGGCACACCCCCAGTACCAATTCGACCAACTCTACAGATATCCAATGTTAAAACGGTCGTAACCCCTGAGAATACGGCAACACATGCCATATTAGCTCAAAACCAAGGGTTGCAATAAGATCCTCTCTTAAATGGGGAGCAGATAGAACAAAACAACCACACTCCTCTGATAGTTCAGAGAAATCAAAACGCTGATCTGGTACTTAGGCAAGTCCAGCAGAATAATTTTGCAGGGCCAATAATATAACGAATGTGGTCGAACAAATCCTAGCCCAGAATGGCTTGAACGTGAGACTCCACCGACCAAATTTTATTTCTCCACTGCCTGAATATATTCGACAGTCTGAAGTACCCAAGGGATTAAAGATTCCAAAATTCACCAAGTTCGCTGGAGACACTAATGAGTCGACAATAAAATATGTCGTTATGTATCAAACCGAGGCTGACGATTTAGCTAATAATAAGAACTTAAAACTAAAATACATCCCAAGTTCTTTAACTAAAAATGCCTTTACATGGTTTGCGACTCTCCCTCCCCAGTTTGTCCAAACATGGAGCCAGTTAGAAAGGATATTCCATGAACAATTTTACATGGGACAGTCGAAGATTAGTTTGAAAGAATTAGCAAGTGTTAGGCGAAAGGTCCCTAAGTCCATAGAGGATTATCTGAATAGGTTTAGACTTCTCAAAACCAGGTGCTTTACTCAAGTAACAGAGCATCAATTAGTCGAGATGGCCGCGGGTGGCCTAGACATTCAATTAGAAAGAAATTGAATACCCAATATTTAATGGATATGACACGGTTTGCAGATAGGGTTCTCCAAGTTGAATGCTTAAAACCTGAAAAAGCCAGAACCAGTAAGTATCATAAGAAAGAGAAAGTCACTTACATAGACGCGGACGAGTATGTCTCTGACTTAGGCGAGGGTGAATTAGATGAAAATGAATTCAATATGGCTGAGTTGAAGCCATGACCCCCGTACACCTATAAAATTTTAAAACCATCCAATGGGAAGAATCCAATAGAAACTAACAAGAATGAGAAGTTCACTACTAGAACTTATACTTTCGATATTATGAAATGTGATGAAATATTTGATTTGTTATGTAAAGATGGCCAAATACTAGTGCCTCCTGGTTTGAAAAATCCTCCTTTAGAACAAAGGAAGAAAAGAGGTTTTTGCAAATATCATAATTTCTTGGGCCATAAGACTTTTCAATGTATTCTTTTCAGGGACTTGCTTCAGAAAGCTTTGAATGATGGAAGACTCCAATTTGACTAGAAGCCAAAATCGACAATGAAAGTGGATGTCAACCTCACGCAGATGGAGGAAGCACACTATGTTGAGTCTCTCGAAATCGTGATGGTAGACGCTACTGGTGGATCTAACATGGACGTCAACAAGTAAGAGCAGATCCCTAAATTTACCCCCAGGCTAAAGAGGGGTTAATCTATTTCCTGGAACGTTGCAAGCTGAACGACTCCAAAACTATTATATGCCCATGTTGCAACGCAGTCTTCGACGAAGAGGCTGTGAAGAAAGTGGAAAGATCCCAAAAGACCAATCCCGGTCGTGGACGCGGTGGAGGTCGAATGACAAGGTTTGGTCCTAACAATATGGGAAGGTCCCGTCAAAATGAGGACTATAGGAGGCAGTTCCAGCAGCCTCGACAGAAGACCTTCAAGCTACTCGCGAGTGCGCTAAAAGACAAATGGGTGAAACCTACTAGCCAAAAGGGGGAAAGCAACCCAAAATGGAGAGCGGTTGATCCAAAACCTGGGATGCCAAATGACAAGACCCAGAAGGAGGCGAACAAAAGAACTCATGTGCCTCCAACCTACAAAGGAAAAAATCCCATGATACACACTCAATGAAGGTGTTATCAAAGAAGGAAACAAGTTGAAAGGGAGGCTCAAGCTAATGCGCATGATGCGCTAGTAGAGAAGCATGAGGCGACTATGTAGAAGCCAAATTAGAAACCCTACTCTAAGAAGATTAATAAAGGTGTGAAGCCATAGTCTGTCCTAAAAATGGTGCATAATTCCCCTATCACAGGAGGATTGAGGGTGAAGGAGAAAACCCCTAAGTACTCTCCTCAGTCAGAGGACGAGGTTGTAGATTACACCCCTCAACTAGACGAGGAAGACCCTCGTCACCATGACCCTAAATACTCTTTTGAGACTGAGGATGCTTATGTACCTTTTCATGCGCCTCGACCAAGGCGTAAAGAACCTAAGTATACCCCTGGTTCTAACGATGAGATGGTTGAAGACAATTTCAGCAAGGAGTCAGAGGGAGACCTCCAAATTAACTATGTCATTGTATTAGTTCTGCCAATTGAGTACGACTGGGTGTCAGAGGTTTCAGAGGTCGATGAGGACTTTTCTCTGGACGAGGCTCTCAATCAGAAGCCTTTATACTATTATTTTATAAACAACGGAGTAGTCAAAGAGCAACAGACGTTGTTTGAGAGGCCAAACCTTGGTATGATGTATCATTTGAAACCACTCTTTATTAGGGCAAAGGTGGATGTCAAGGCTGTCAACAAGGTGTTTGTAGATGGTGCTGAAGCAGTCACCTGATGCCAAACTCTGTGTTCAAGAAGTCAGGGAAGGTTCATGAAGATCTAAGACCCCACAACATGGTACTATCTAACTACGAGGGTAAAACCAAAATATCTTAGGAGTAATCCAGGTCGACTTGTCTATAAGATCGACATCGAGGACAACTTCCTTCATGGTTATCAAGTCCAATGCAAATTACAACCTA